ACCTCTTCCCATAGAGGTACATATTTCACGTGCATCTATACACGCAAACACACACGTGTGTGTATTCTACGGACTGCTCTGGATTTTAAAGTACGATGTGTGTACTGACGTATGTGTAATAGTCCAAACCGTGCATATCCATATACACATGGCGGTGAAAATAATCAACAGCAAAGCATACGAAATGCAGTGAGGAGAATGAGAAGCGGCAGAGACGCCTGGTGTCATCCCTGCACTATCAAATATACACGTAAGTATGACTGGAGAAAGAGAACCTAAATATTTCACTGTCAGAGAACGTCGCAAACTGCAATTCATTTCTATCTCATGTGCTTTAGGACAATGACAATTTAATACAAGGCCAGTGGATGTAAAAGAGATAAAAACTGAACAAACTGGGCCAGTGTAATCAAAGATTTTCTCCAGAGAGCTGGCGAGGGCCGGAGCTCATATGCACTTAGAACAGATCAACGTTGTATTGTTTCTCTCTTCCATGAATTTGCTATGAAGCAAAATTCCAAGCCAAGCTTAGCTACTGCAATGACTTTAAAGTTCTATTGAAATACCTCCGATGCTCTTCTCTATTTCCAAATGCTTCAGAGGTGGCTCTAAAAAGTTTATTTCATATTAACTGGTTTCACAGAAATCATTGCCATTAATTGCCACTTGTCTGACCAAGTACCACCACGGGCACAGATCTGAATTTGTTTTATGAAATCCTATAAGCCAAACCTTCCGTGCTGCACAGCACTTTGAAAGTAAAACAAAGAAATTTTTTTTTAGTCACTAGGCTAAAACAAATGTTGAGGAATTTTTCACAAGTGATACGGACTTGAGACTAGGCATTATGCCTACCTCCCAAAAGAAAGGTCTCTTCTTTGTCTGTAGATCTTCCAGGAGTAAGGTATTGTGAAAGTATTGTTAAATAGACTCATAGAGAAGTTACCTGCCCTCTTTGATGAATAGCACCATGTATTGAAAATTAATTGCAAAAGTATGGCCCAGCTAATGAGACGGTCCTTATCTTTTCTCAGCACAGGAAGCACAAGTATTTTTCTGCTGGCTCGATATTTTATAAAAAATGCCTAAAGTGTTATTAACTAAGTAAAAATCTGATTCAAAGACCTCAAAGACCCAAATTATTGTAAATTCTAAAACCTGGAAAACCTGGAGTTAAACCTGATTTCCTATATTATTTCCTTTTTTAAACCTTAATTTCTTTTCTTTTTGACTTTGAAAAGAAAACCAAAGGAGGAAAAAAAAATCTTTTCTCCAGCTTCTATGAGCATTTTTAAAAACAGAATTACAATACCCTTTTTAATAAGATGGTCAATATATATTACAGGTCAGATTAAATCAAAGAAATATATCAAAGGCCATCAATTTAGAATAAAAAAAGAAGAACAATGATACCTTATTGGGGGGAAAACACTGGAAAAATGATCATCCATGCAAGAGAATTAATGGATATCCACAAGGGCTTTGCTAATAACATGGGTTAATTACCGCTGCAACACACAAGGCTCAGTAAATAAAGCAGCAGTGCCATAAACACATTAAGATGAGAAACCATCACTATAAGAACCAGCCAACACCATCACCCTTGCCTCTGCCCAGGAAAGGGAAAGCTGTTTTCCGGCCCTTTCTGTCAAAAGGAGGATTTCTAAACTTAACCACCAAATGTTTATAAGGTAATCCATAAATATACTGACACAAAGGGCTGGTGAAACATGGGGTGCCCATCATTTACTCACCACTCCCATCCCACATTTATTCCATTAACTCAGGAACACTTATTTTGGCTTACTCGAAGGAGAAAATCACATGTTACATAATACACACTGTCTGGCTATCTTGACTATCTATAGTTTGGGATATGTACAATGGCTATTAAATTTTCAGAAAAATAGAATTAATCTGTTCACTTTAGTGCAGGGATGGGCAAGGCTACAAGATTCTGCCGCTCAGGAACACTCACCCCTAAGTGCAGCTAGTTGTCACTTCCAGCAATTTACAAAGAAATCATCTGAAAACCCCACCTACACCTCCTACCTTTAAGGCTGCAGGTGTTTGCAACAGATTTACCGAGAAGAAACAGGAGGGAAAGTAATATGAGCTCTAAGTCTGGAGTTTAGGTGTTCTTTCTTAGAAAAATAAACTTGAAGTGTCTGTTCATAGTTTTCAAATAATACCACATCTTAAAGTGATTTAGGCAAGCTCCTTTTTCTAAAAAAAAAAAATGTATCCACTCGGAGTTAGGCTTGCTGTTGTTGTTACTGTACAAATTTTTTCTTCCTGCCTATTTTCATCTCATACATTTTGACGTTACAGTATTACTTTTGGATAGTTGTGTTTCAATTTACATTTTACTGTTAATAAGGAGAGACGAGGCCGAGGGAAAAAACAACAACAACAACAACAACAAACCCAGACACAGAAAGAGTGGACCGTACAAAATAAAACTTGCAAAGCTCCAAAGAGGAATTTTAAAACACAAATCTGTTTCATTTGCAATGCTGGGGATTTCAATGATCAGGCTGAATTTACTAAACTGTTCCCTCCTTGCCTTGCCTGTTTTGGAGTGTTTCAATTGCCTTTCCTTCTTCCAACAGCTGTGACAACTGTTAAAACAGTCAGTAAAATTAAGTCCGCTCTATAATCCTGTAGTCAATGTTACATTTTAATCAGAGGTTGAAAGGGATTCATGTGATGAGCACACTCATTTAGAATGATTAGACGGACACATATGTCAAAATGAGCAGATATATTATTTTCATCTATTTATGCTATCAGTTATTACTGCTATTAAATGTGAAACAAGGTCTCAAGTATTATGTCCTTTAATGTGCTGGCACATTTCCTAAAATAAAAAACACATAGTTATAGGTTAACATTTTAGGCTCTCCTAATGGTGGTCAATAAATTGTACGAATCTTTTTAACAGCCTCCAAAACAGAAATTGGCTAGTATTTTCCTCTGAAACTGCATAACTCTGGTTTCATTTCTATGTATACACACACGTGATAGGGTTTAACCCAGTACAATTACTATGAATATCAATAGCATGTATAAATTCTGTGGTTTATTAATTGAGACAGAGAGGCAGATGCGTTGCTTAGCATTAGATCTTTCTGTCTGTCCAGTGAACCACGTAACCATCAGAACTGCATCCAGACAATAAATCTGTATTTTTTTAAAGATGACTTTTAATTGAGCCAAAAAGAAAGCTAGTTTGAATCTTGCGCCAAAGCCAAAAGGACATGTGCCCTGATTTCATTTAAATGCATCTGCTTTAAGAGGCTTATCTAAACTAATTATTCAAATTAGCTATAAGAAGTTAAATTCAAGAAAACTACTTTAAAAAGAAGCCTCTGGGGGATTTTTAAAGTTTGTTTTCTTTATTTATTTACAGAAGAAAGTTCAGAATCTGGGTGAGCGTGGATAACGCCTTCTCCCTGACAGGAAGACATTTACACCCTCCAGTTCCACGACCCCCGGTGCACTAACCTTCAAGCCCCACTTGAGTGGGCAGTCCTACCTTTGTTTATTTCTCATTTTTATTTTCACACAATTTAAGGTTGTTTCTGGCCTTGAGTCTGTCGAACTGGATGCAACCTTGCCAGCTTTCAGTCCCTCCTACGCCCATCTCTTGGAGAATAGCCCTTGCGTGAGTGTGTATGCGAGTGTGAGAGAGCGTGCGTGTGAGGGCACGTGCAAGCGTGCAGAGACAGATCCACACACACTCGCACCCCTACACACGAGCAGCCACTGACAGTGCGAGTCACTTTTCATCTCTTACTTAATTACAAAGCAATGCAATATGCAGTCACAAAGGACAGCTAGTGGACATCTACCTATAATGCACTACCTCCTCGTCGAGAGTTTCAGATTTTCTTCACAATCTGTAGAGAGATGTTTGCCAAGAGCACTTTTTTTCAGAATTATTACAGTTGGTATTACTGTAATGTGAAAGCAGAGCGGTATAACTGACTCAACAGAAAGATGATCCAGGGACAGGTCTCAGGGTAGACTAATACATTATCTTAACAGTGGGCTGAAATTAAGTTTATGACCTACTCTTCTACACAAGAATGCCTAATGGACTTGTCCTACCCCATCCACTTCTCCCCCACCTTTAGTGTTCCAAAGATATAGATACCGATATATATACACATATACACACAAATCCATGTGCATAAAGATATTCATGAATCCGAATTAAACTGCACCTAAGAACAAAAGTACTTTTCCCTATTTTCTGGACGTGATACATGACACAAATCCACAATCTCAGTGTTGTCTGTTCAAGGGAAAATTTTAAAAGTCACTACTGTTTCTTCTTTAGTTTTTTTTTTTTTTTTCCTCCCCTTAAATATTTATAATGTGTGAAAATCTCATGTTACTTAATGGACTGATTGTCAGTTAAGTGCTGACTTAACGCTAACCATGCAAACAACAGTATTCTAGCCCTGAATTGCACAGGGCTAGTTTTTAAATTGTTCTCTGAAGGAGAATTAGTAAATGTGCAATTTTGCCTCTAACTCTGCGCGGTAAGAAATGACAGGGAGCTGAAAATATCTGTCAAACTGCAAATACATAAGAGGCACTCAATAGTATAAATCATTTTGAATATTGTATTTTAAAACATCTTTCCTTGGGAAAATGGGTCCTAGTAAAAGATGCATTTTAACAGTTCGCTAAGCATTTGTGCCAAGTGCCTATTCTTAGCACCTGAATAAGAAGTGACTGTCACACAGCTGTTTTACTGACAGTCACTGAGCTTTGCCTCAAAGGTAACATTGTAGTCAGAGAACAATTCTCGACTTACTGAATTAGGAGATCACCCTCAACACAAAAGGCACAAGACAGACACAAACAAGCACTCGTGCACACATCGTACCCAGGGCATTACCTGAATCCGTGTGCAAAGATACACTCTGCCCACCCCCGCACACGCACCCCCACGGCGAGTTTTCAAAAGGAAAGAAAAAGGTACCTACTCTTCCTCGTAGTGCAGGGAAAAAGATTCAGGCAGGCAAAGTTCTACCGAATCCATGTGCGACCGGCAACCATTATTCGTGCTCCCCAGCTATAAATCAAAGTTTCCTTGACAGAGCACAGTGCAATTAACACAAATGTTCTCCTAGTGACAAGCCTATAGGCACAGCCAGTTGGGACCAAAGCTCTCACACTCTCCTAATCAAGGACTTAAAGCCCCGATTGGAGCTTATTAATATGAAGTAGGGCTTTACATATGCAGTCCCACCGGCCCAGCCGCGCAGCCGATTGGGGGGCGTCTGCCCAATCAGGAGGGAGGCGACGGGAGGCTGCCGGCGGCGAGCGGAGCCGGGCAGGTAGGCAGGGCGCGGAGAGCCGCGGGGACTGGGCTCCGCGAGCGGCGAGGGAGAGGGAGCGGGGCCCGCAGCCGCGATCGAAACGCTCCCCGGAGGCACCGTGCGTTTCCTTCTCTGTCTGTCTTTCTCTCTTTTTCTGGGAAGCTACAAAAGAAACCTAACTAACTTAACTCTCTAGGCACTGGAGGGATTTGTCTCGGGTGTCCAACCCGGGACCCATTTTGCCTTGAGAAGAAGAACGCACGCACACTCTCGGTTCATTTGGGAGAGGATTCTGCGGAAGGTACAGAATTAAGTTTGTCCTGCCCTGGTCTGTGTTTCACACCCCCGGGGGGCTGCTGCTTCGGCAGTGCCGTACCCCCCCCCCCCCCCCCCGCCCCGTTTATTCGTAATCGCGTCTTTTCCTGGTTCCCTGCTCCATACTGGGCATTGGAAAAAATCAAAGACAGTCTTCTAAATTGTTCGGGCGTGTGAGCCCCTGGGATGGTCCTCCCGGAGGTGGAATGCAGTTTTGCACAACTACAGAAGAGGAAATAGTGCTCAGTCCAAACTGAGAGGATGCCTATGCAAATTATATGTGTAAACATTTCTTTACCTGCTGTCTCCCTACATACAGATACACAACGCATAGCTTTTTCAAAGCAAAGGTAAACAACTCTAGGACAAATTGGCTTCTCCAGTTACAGGCGTGGGGGTCTGAGGGCTGTAGGGGAAATAGTACATTAAATCCATCTCAGTGCATTTTGACAAAATACAGACTGCGTTTCCTTTTTTTTTCTCCCCCCCACCCTTGCCTAGAGAGCATTACTACACTGTGCACTAAGTGTTCTTAATCACATACTTATTTCAATACAAGCTTCCAAACTGGAAGGCATATACAAATGTATATGATTTTACCCAAAACATCAGTTTCCAAATGAAATGCAGTGTACATATTTGTTTCTATACATAACACACCCTGAATGCTTAAAAAAAAAAAATCAACCCAGAAACATTTTGTAAATCATCACACAGTCTGGCCATTATAAGGAATAGTTTCAAAGAGAAAACAATTTAGGCAAACTAAGAATTTCCAATCAAAAACAATTTTTTTAAGGATATAAGAAGAGAAGGTTATTTTCCCTTCAATAATGTAGAATGTGTTCTTAGTTTTCGTATAACAAAGAGTTTTCTTAGGTCCTACTTGGAACTACAGGCTCTTTTATACTAGCAAATATATTGGAATAGATGCCAGCTATTGATGGCAAATTGCTCCCTTATGGAGAGGGGAAGACCCACAATTTTGATGTAATTCAGCTCTACTGCTACCAACCTTTTGCATCTTAAGTGTTCCACGATATAAATAGTATAATCTTTGAGATCAAAATAAATTAGTTCAGATATTCAGTGTGTGTTGAAGTCACTAAATCAGAACTCAACTCTCTCAACCCTTTCAGATTTTCTAGGTCTTTAAAAAAACAAAACACTAAAATAGAGCAGCCACATTAAAATTCAGAATGTAAAAATGACAGACCTGATTTGTCCCCCCACAGAAGAAAGCAATTTTCCTGCCATGTATTTGACCATATCTAAGATATGGGCCCGATTCCTTTTATTTGTGGTCTAAATTCTTACAAGTTTTTAGAAGAGAATTCACATAGCAAAAACTGTGCCTGAGAATAATGTAGGAAAGCAGGTAGTAAAAGCTTAATTACCAGTAGCATTATGCTGTCTATATTGTTAAATGTGAACTCTGCAATTAAGATGTAAATTTGGTTGTGAGCAGTGAATTAAAAGAGCTTTGAGATGTAGAAGAAAATCCAAGCATTCTCCAGACACCACCTCCCAAAAAAAAAGATTGTCTATTCAACCAAAAATGAGACATGTAATCATTTTATAATTAAAAAAATAAATAAAGAGGCATTTGGAATAGAAACATGATTTTTCCAAAATAGAATTAAAGAAATATGGAAGCTAATACAGCATCAGAATGAAAGAAAAACATCTTTGGTTCAAAGATTATTATCTACATTTCTGAACAAACTAAAATTCCCAGGATAATTAACAGATCCAGTTGTATACATTTTTAAACTATGTCCGCAAAACAGAGTTCCTTTTTAATTTTTTTCTAAAGACACTTTAAAAAAATAATAATTTTATGTACTCGACCCACCTTAAAGCACTCAATACATTCAGATTTTGCACCTGTGCAGAATCCCGCACTGTATTCAGTTTCTTTGCATTATCATGCTGTGACAGAACCTGTTTATTACTCCTTTGAAATGGCCTTTTAAAGACAAGATTTGTAGTCAATTATTTACTGATGGACCTTAAATCACCACATTTCATAGGAGTCATCGTTTACTTCCCAGAATTTTCTTATTTCCTTTTGGGTACTGATTTGCCCCATTAGGAACCACTGGATCTCACTGGTATATATTTTAGACATGTTTAGACTCTTCCATGTGTCAGTCTCTTCTGTGCTCACAGAGACACAGGTACAACAGACAGCGCATCGTCCCCACTGATCTCTCACTAACCATATTTCATCAGTGCAAGGTACAGTGTCCACTGAGCTAGCTGCTTTCTGAACGACCAGAAATATACCAGTGTATATACATACATGGATCTGTATGTTCCCTTTGGGATCAAAGTGTCACCTTTGCAAGTCAAGGACCTAAGATTACACAGACTGTCTTGAATCCAGTTTAACCAATTTGAAATTTAAAATAACATCTACTGCACTAAACCTGCAAGACAGCTTCCAGAATATTTTATAAACACGCAGCTTAGTCATCTCCAGAATCTTCCCTAGCCACAGTTTTCTCACCTTGAAGGAGGAAACAGTGGATAATCACGGGAAATACACACATCATGGGCAATACTGAGCATACATCTTTTAGAATCTCAACAACAAAGGATATTGGGGAAAAAATGAAACAAACAAATTAAACAGCCTCAACTAAACACATATTGCTAAACAGTCAATACACTTCACAATCTTACCACAAGGAGTCTACCCAAAGCAGGAAAAAAAAATGGGACTAAATGAAAGAACCTCTTAGGACTATTTCACACGGAATATTAATCAATTAGTTAATATCCATCTATTATGCACCAGGCCGTGGGTCCATGCCTAGTTTCAATCTCTTTTTCCTTAAACAATGCAGTCACAAATACCCAGACAACTTCATCCTCAGGCCCTAACTCCTGCACAGACACCAGCAGAAAATATACTTCATTTCCATTTGAAAGAACAGAATGGCAACAAGCAAAACTCAAGTGCAAACAACACGTAGCTTCCTGTTGACTGTACTGGAAATTTTACTGTATTTTAGTCAGAATCCTTTCCTAAAACAGTGAATTCTTATGCTGCTAAGAGATGACGAGAAATGTTTCATCTTGCCATTATTGCATATTAAGAGCTACTTTTAGTTCCCATCTTTGTGAAAATTAACGGGACTAATCTGTCTTAAAATGCTTCTAGTTGTCACACTGTTTTTGAAGCAAATTTTATTTTATATTGCACATCTGTCATTTGTTAAATATTTAAAACTCAACAAGGCATAACAAATTTAGATTTTCCGATCGCTTTCTAACCTACCTTTGTGGATCTTTCCTCAAGAGCAGAAACCCTTAAAAAAGCTCTTTAACTCTGAACCATCTTCCCTGCTGTCTTTGATAGCTTGTGTATAGTATAATGTACCATAATGCAAAAAGCAAGTCAAGACTATTACAAACTATTATCTTTAACTCTAAAAGAAAAGCCACAAATGAACATCCCTGCAAAAAATATCCTGCTGGACAAACAGGAGGCTTAGACACCAGGATCCCTTTTGCATCCTCTGATGACCTGGGTGGCCCCGAGCAGGTCACCTCATGTACCTATCCCTCTTTTCCTCATCTGTGCATTGGGACTGCTTTTATGCTTTAAACCTGCTTAAGAACACACCTTTCCCAGTGGGAACGTGAAGACGACTTTCGGAGTCAGTATGACTACTTTCCTCTCTATCACCACCAAACCTCCATCAATTCATCATACCTCATCTTTTGCTGCCTTTCATTTCTAGGGCACAGGCTTTGATATTTAAATTATTGTCTCGATTGGCAAGAAGCAATCATTTCGACTGAAAGTGATCACTTCCACAGAAGCACTAATAAAAACCTCGCCTTTTGACAAACCTCTTGTCCTATAAATCCATCCCATTCCCAAATTACCAAGTCCATGTAAAAAGCCCATTCTCTGGGGAGCAATTACCTCACCTCTATAACACACCAAAAACTCTTTTCTCAGGGTTTGTGAAAGTGGGGGTGGAGGGAGTGGGAATCAAAGGAAGACAGAGAAAGTAACAGAGACAATTCGGTTTCTGTTTAATTAATTTAGGATTATTTCACTTTCATTTCATCAAGCTAATAAGATACATGGTAAAATATCAGGCAAGATTAAGTTATAAACTATAGTAGCTCCAATGGGAAAAGCAACTTTAGTTACACTGTATTTCCAACATATGGTGAATGACTAGACGCATTTTCTAGTATCCTATGAGCTTTCTATAACCTGTATGGCATATATTTACAGAGCAATAGTTAACATTTTGAGATTATATGTTAATAAGTGAGTTGCAGTTATATTCTTTCCTGAATGTTAAGCACCATGAGCTAAATGCAGAAAACATTCAAGGTCAATGTCCCGTTTTAGACCTTTTCAGGCAGCTGTAATATT